ACCATAGACTTTGTATGTAAACCTGATGCTCCTGACGCTGAAATCGCGTGGGGTGTGAACGCACCATTACCCAGAATCTGAGCTATTTCCTCCCACGAATTTGTTGCTCGTTGAAAGTCTTTAGATTCCTTCATTGACGTGTCATAAAGTTTCTATGTTTTCTAATCAACCCCCATGAGACACTCTACAAACTTTGAATCCAGTTTGTCTACAAATGATACAGATTCTAAACTTTATCTGCTTGGTGTTGTATCCAAATCAGTTCAAACCCTCCAGGCAGTTTATTGTGCGACACCGCAGACATTTTAAGTCCGCAGTGAGTCCACGCGGACCTCCGCAGAGCAAAGTAATCCCGAGTATGTGGAGGCCTTTACACGTTGGAGCTAGAGTCCAACTCAGAGTGAGAGGAGAGTGAAGATGATCAAATTGTAGTTAGTACCTTCAGAACTTATTTAGCAGTTCTGTTGCAAATATTTTTGACAGAACAGTTCAGAAAATGTCAGAAAATACAGAAAGCTACAAGGGTTGAAACATATAACCCAAATAGAATATAAAAATTTCTATGCAGCACCAGGAAAGACTAAATTCAATTTTCAGGGACTCTGAGTATAAAAAAAAAACAATGCATTTAATGGCCAAAAAAATTGAATTTTGCATGATATGTCCCCTTTAATTCCAACTTATAAAAACCACATGAAGTCATGATATGCAGCTTTAAACAGAGATGATGCTCATAAGGGCAATGGTCTGCTGATATTATTCAAACCCTACACCCTCTCCGTTCTGCCATGTAATCCTCTGTGTGATAAATGTGAGATCACACCTTCGTAACAATTCCCTGTGAGATAAAAAACAAACATCTGCACTGTCTGAACACACACACACACACACACACACACACACACACACGCACGCACGCACGCACACAACTAAAAGAACACACTCCTGTTTGTTCTTACGGGGGACATGTTGGGAAAAGGCTGTGTTGAGGAGATATTTTAACAGCTGTTCATTAAAAATAAATTTTAATATAAACTCATGTTTGAGTAATTGAATTTTCTCATTGATGTGTTTTGTGTTATTCATCACAGGAACAACACGGAGACAGAAGACTAAAACACATCCCTTTTTTAATTACTTTTACTTTTTTTTTACCTTTCATCATATTTCCATGCATATAAACCAGATTCTCCTTCAATCTCGCTTCCGTAACTGTTTGTTGTTTTTCTTCTTTATGTCCATTCATGGATATACTGAAGTCCACATGAAACACCTCCACTCATCCCTCTGATCCTGCAATCCTTTTCATCCTTATTTATCTCATTCAGACTTGTGGTGTAAYTGTGTGGAGCAGCTGATTTGGATAAAAAGACCACTTGTGAAATCTATCAAACCTTCACCATCCCTTACAACAAAGTTTTCTCCATCTGATCTTTATCCTTTACTTTTTCTTTGTCCGTGGGCTTTTTTTTTAACAAATGGCTTCATTTCTATATTATTACTGGTTATTCTGTCACCATTATTTCCTTTCAAAAGGTTAAAGGCACAGTGTGTAGGATTTGTTGTTTGCAGTGACATCTAGTGGTTGAGTGGTTGAATCATCCTCCCTGGTCCTCTCCCCACCCCCACCCCCGCTTCCAAGCAAAGGAGTTGCTACGGTGTCTCTCAGGTGTCAAAAACCTTTGATAATTCCAACCGCGATGTCTACCAGCATCTTCAGGGCTAGTGATGTTTCAAGTGGTAAGATTATGAAAATTATCCCAGCTACAATGACAGACAAC